AGAAAAAAATAAGAATTATTACATGGGTAGCTAGGAATTCTGGGGGTTGACGTCCACATATCTTAAAGTAGAGGAGCTTGAGAAATATTGTAGTCCAAAGCAGCACTATCCGTAAGTTGATCATCATTGTGGTAGATTTGGGATCCTTGAGGACTACATGTTCAGAAGTAGCAAATATATCAATACTTCCTGAAAAAATGACTCTTTTACATAATCAGTGAGAGAACGGAAAAGATCAGAGGTGGTATTCAACTGGTTCACACCTACTCGGGCGAACCGGTAGCAGTTATTTGGCGTGGGTCGCCGAACTGGTGGCGACCCCTGGCTGGCCACGCCCCCAACCCGGTCGCCCAGTCGCTCACTTGCAATCGCTCTCCTAGCTTTCCGTTCCCCACGTCCTCTTTCTCCCCGGGGGGGAAGGAAGAAAGGCATGGACGCTGCAAGTATCGCTTTCCCTGTGTGAGTTAAAATGTCTGGAGTGAGAAGGAGTGCGGTCTGACAGAGGGGGTGGGGGAATCCACTCCAGCCTTGGAGAAGTTTAAAGGAGCTGCTTCCAAAATGCTTGTCTGTTAAGTGCTGTCTGTGTGTGTGTGTGTGTGTGTGTGTGTGTGTGTGTGAGAGAGAGAGAGAGAGAGAGAGAGAGAGAGAGAGAGAGAGAGAGAACTCTGTGCTATTATTTTTAATTGTTCCATTATTTATCATGTGTTAATATTTTACACTGTTGCTACACCTGCCTTTCTTTTGCCCAGGGCTATCACATATTTTTCAGGATTTACATGCATTCAATGTCAACAGTTCAGAGCATAACATACACATGTGTTTAACAAGAGTTGAAAAGGGACCTTGGAGGTCTTCTAGTCCAACCCCCAGCTCAGGCAAGAAAACTGAGGATGCCAAACTCTGAGTAGAGGTCCTGGGAAAGGTGTCAGAATAATACTTAGAAGGGACCTTGGGGTGAACCCTATAACATTTCAGAGAAATGGCTGTCCAGTCTTTTCTTAAAAACTTCCAGTGATTGACCACCCAGAACTTCTGGAGACAGGCAGTTCCACTGGTTAACTGTTCTCCTTAGTTTTAGTTTAGGTTGCTTCTCTCTGTTCAGTTTCCATCCATTGCTTCTTGTTTGCATTTTGCTTCTTTGGAAAATACATTGTCCCCCTTTCTTTGTGGCAGCCCCTTAAAAGCCTGTTGCCTATCACACTCTTGAGTAAAGCATGTGAGCCATTTCCTCCTTTCAGTGGTCCATGAAAGTACATCTATAGTATGCAGATAATAAAGTCAAAAAAGGTGAACAACATTTTTACAGAACTATAGATAAAGTTGAGGCTGGGTGACAAGGAATGGCTGGGAGGGGAGGGGCCAGGTAAGGTACCCCTTGCTATGAGTGGCATTGAGTTGGCCACACCCACCCAGTCACATGACCACCAAGCACGCCCACCCAGTCACATGACCACCAAGCTACACCCATCCAGTCATATGACTGCCAAGCCACACCCACCAAATAAGCCACGCCCACAGAACCGGTAGTAAAAAAAATTGAATTCCACCACTGGAAAAGATACATTTATTTATAGTTTGTATTTGCTTTAAAATGTTATACCTGTTTCTCTGAGCATATTCTGAATACATGCCCATTCTGCTTGTATAATTTACCATTCTGAGCAGAAGGGACATTTATTGATAAGTATAAAATGTGGGTTTATATTTTATAATAAATTTGGAATCAACAGCAAACGTTAGTTACAATGTAAACTTTTTGAATAATAACATCAAACTTAAAATATTATTTTCACAAGCTCCTGATATATTTATGAAATGCTATAAATGAAAGGTAAGAGTTATAGAAGAGTTAATTCAATTTATGTTTTAAATCTACTCTGGAAGTTTTACACATTCCCAGGAGAGAGAGAAAAGCCCCTGTTTTTTTCTTACTGTGAATGAGAAGTAATTGACCTAGAAACATACCTAGAAAAACTCAACAGAAAAGCAATGTTTTTTCCTTCAGCCATGAAAAGATGGGGAGATGTACACTAGCTTTTGGTATTCCAAATCTTCTGATAGATTTAGTTTCCATAAACGAGCTGTGCTATCCATAAAGTCTTTGCTGAGGGTTACAGTTATTCAAGTGACGTGCCTATAACTGAAATTGAACCCAGAGCTTTGCAAGGGATCCTAAGCTTATATAAACAAGCACAAACTCATCTGTTTATTCCAACTCCCTGGCATTATTTATAACTTTTCTGTATCTTTGTTTATGCATGGGAATAAACAGGCTGTCATGAGCTGGACATGAGCTATCTACAAGAAGAAGCACTCCCTGGTGCCCTGTTTGGCTTAGAACAGCACATAAATTGCAGTAAACAAATACATAATCATATATCAAACTGACTGCTCCTTGGAAGGATAAACAAATTCAGGTGTCTTTTACTTTCTTTTTCCATTTCTTCTTTCTGAAATAATTTTTTTTCTTTCTTCTCTTTCCTTTCCATGGACCATTTTTTGTGTATATATCTTCTTTTCTTACCCTTTTGGCTTCATTATATTCTAGTACCAGTAGTTATGGCTACAGTTGGGACCAGAATTTCAACTGCTAGGCCAAGGGTCTTCAGATTTTGCAAGCTTGAAGACTTGTGGACTTCAACTCCCAGAATTCCTGAGCTAATATGACTGGAGGAGGAATTCTGGGAGTTGAAGTCCACAAATCTTAAAGCTGTCAAGTTTGAAGAGTCCTGTGCTAGGCAATACAGTCATTAAGGTCATCATATGCCTAGCCTGATTTTACAATAATTTTTACTGTGATCATTCCATGAATTGCTGTGGTCATTAAGTGAATCACATAGTCCTTAAGCAAATCCGGTTATCCCAATTGACATTGCTCATCGCAAACCAGCTGGGTGATCATAGGACACCAAGGCAGTGCCCCAGTCATAAGTACATGCCAGTTGCCAAATGCTTGAATTTTGACCATGTGACCATGGGAATGCAGCAAAGATTGTAAGTGTGAAAATCATTCATAAGTCACTTTTTTCACCACTGTTGTAACTTTGAATGTGACTAAGTGAATGAACAAAGACATTCCTGCTTACTTAATAAATTATTAATAATAATTTATTTAATTTATTAATTTATTAAATAATAAATTTTATTATTGTTATTATTATTATTTATTGTTGTTGTACATATATACAAGTATACACATATAGTGAAATTCACATAACACCCAGAGACCAGACTCAACATCCACACACATATGACAATCCCCAACACAACCTCACCCACCAAAATTCCCCATCTCCTAAAAACACACAAGCATCCACACAACAGTGTCCAGCAGCTCACTGATGGTGGTCCTTAAGTTCATTGTTAAGTGCAATTATAGCTCTGGGATAAAAAAAAAAACTGTTCAGAAAATGTGTGGTATGAGTTTTAACTGTTCTGTATCTTCTGCCAGAAGGTTCATAAACAGTTCACAAAGATTGTAAGCAGGATGGGAAGAGTCTCTGAGAATGTTGTGCAACTTCCTCAGACAGCGAGAGGTGAAGATGTCGTCTAGGGCTGGTAGCTGGAGCCCAATGATCTTCTGGGCAGTTCTAATGATTCTCTGTAGAGCTCTTTTATCCACTACAGAGCTGTTGTCATACCATACAAGAATGCTGTATGTCAAGACACTCTCAATGGTGCTGCAGTAGTAGGACAGAAGTAGATGCTGAAGAGGTATCCATAATATAGAAGCCTATAGAAATTGGGTCTCTTCAAAACTTAGGAGATTTAATAGCACTAGCAATAGCATTTAGACTTACATACCGCTTCATAGTGCTTTACAACTTCTCTAAGCTGTTTACAGAGTCAGCATATTGCCTCTTCAACAATCTGAGTCTGTGGAAGGCTGAATCAACCTTGAGCCAGTCAAAATCAAACTCCTGGCAATGAGCAGAGTTTACCTGATGACTGTAACCACTGCGCCGCCACCACTATAATAATTATGGCTGTTAAAATTTACCTCATCATTGCTTCTTAGATTTAGGTTGTTGCACTTTCTCTTTGTTCATTGTTTCTTCTTCTTTTGCTTCTTTTAGGAGCTGGTGGGAAGCAACCCTCCGCAAAGGAACTGGAAAGGAATTGCAATTGCTCTACTTGTGATCCTGGTTATCTGCTCCTTGATTGTCACTTCTGTTATCTTGCTGACACCAGGTATTTATATAATCTTTAGTCTTTGTTGCTGTTGTTGCTCTAATTTCAGAATCTTCCCAAAGGCATTTTAAAAAGGCAGAGGCCTGATTACATTCCGTTGGGCTTACAGATCAGTCCTGTGATGAGAATCTCTTAAGTCCTGTTCTTTTGAGTCCTGTTAATCTTCAATAAAAGGTTGGATTTAGGTTTTCTTTTAAAAAATAATAATATCAAGAATATACATGCATACATCAAAGAGTCATAAGTATCCATATCCTATATAAAAAGAACTGCTCAGATCTTCCCACAGAGATCGTTCTCAACTTATAACCACAATTGTGTCATTTCAATTTCAATCAGTTGTTGAGGTCATAAGCTGAGATAAACACATATGACTAACCCCATTTTTTATTGTTTTTGCAGTGATCATTTAGCAAATAACACAGTCATTGAACTGATCCATTCTTTGAATGGGTGGAGTTTTTTTCCCCCAGAAACTGGCAAAAAAAAATTACAAATTGTGTTCATGTGACTACAGGGCACTGCAACTGAGCCAACTGCCAAATTGCCAAGTTGAAATGTAGTCATGTGACTACAGGAGGATAACACAATTTTTATGTATTTATTACATTTATTTATTAAATTTTATTTGTTTATTCAATGTATTTGCTTCCCATCTCATTACAAGTGACTCTGGGCAGCTTATATTGGCTGAAAGTGCATTGCAGGCCACCAAGCCCTATTTTTTTGAGGCTTTTTATAAGTTCAAGTAGTCATTAAAAGATTAATTGCAAATCAAGGATTACCTATATATTCAGTTGTATTGCCAATCTAAAACAATGACTTACAAAACCTGATTGACACGTTCAAGGCTGAAAAGCAACTTGCTTTCCCTTTAATCAAGTCATTTGTGCATTTAGTGCAATTCCTTAGATTCTGTGATCGAGTGCTTTTTTTAGCAGCTATCATCCATCGCCTTCTTCAAATTAGAAAAGGCAGAAACAGAAATTCGTTCTTCTCCACTAAAGCAGGTGATCTGCCACCAAATTGTCATCTGTGGGGTGATTCTTGGAAGATATAGTTTTATGATTGGTCAGCAGCATTTATTTATAGGGGAATTCTCAAAGTTTGTAATTCTGCACCCTGTTGAACTAATAAATTAATGATGCTCTCCTTAAACCATGATTTCATTAGCACTAAGGATGGAGCTAAATAAACACACCTACCAGGTTCAATAATAATTTCAGTGAACCTAACAAAAATCACAGAGACCCCTGCCATGTCACAAACGAGAGGTCCAACTTGAAAACTGAACTACTCAGTGAAAAGAATGTCTGAAGTCCAGAGGTATCTTTAAAACTCCACTCTGTACTCACTTTGGAATAGCATTTTCTGTTTGGAGCAACAGTTGCAGAAAATATCCACATTTCTGGTGTCCAGGATGAGTGAGGATGAACTCCGGCTGCACTCAAGCACTGGGGCGCATGCTATACTTCCTAAATCCCTGTGAGACGAAATGGAAGCCATATAAAATCATGCTCCAGGCCTTTCCCCTGCTCCAGTGATTCAGTTCCGGGGATATGTACCATGGACATCCAGAGCTGAATCCCTCAGGATCAAATTGAAATCCTGTAATGACCCTGGAATACGAAGTAAAGAGATGCTGCCTAGGGAATGATCCAGTGGTAGGATTCCACATTTTTCCCCCTACCGCTTCTATGAGAGCACGCAACACTCAAAAACCGCCCTCTGGGTCAGCGTTATTGAGGTGAGCTATTTTTTAGCTCAGCTGACGTGCAGCAATCCACTGTGCCATGCAAATCAGCTGAGCTAAAAAAACCAAGGGAATATAAGACAGGAAAGGCGAGTGGGCGGGGCCAGCCAGAGGTGGTATTTGCCGGTTCTCCGAACTACTCAAAATTTCCACTACTGGTATGCAAGAACCGGTTCGAATCGGCTGAATACCACCTCTGTAATGGTCAGCTAAACCTGCATGATGAGTGGGGAAAGGGCTCAGAACAGACCCTACCTAACTTCTCAAACTGTCAGGGAGATGGTAGGAGATTTATACTTCTCGATTTGCAGGGTTCTACTAATGTAACCTTACAATAAAGTAGAATTAGTTCATCTGGTTTGCTTGGGAAGACCGTCCTTAACCTGCTTTCCAGCTCCATTCTGCTGTGCGGGGCAACAAAAGAAAACCCAGCCAATCAGCTGGGACTCAATGGAAGGCAGAGAATAGATGGGGGCGGGGCCAGTCAGAGGTGGGATTTGCCGGTTCTCCAAACTACTCAAAATTTCTACTACCGGTTCTCCAGAACTGGTCAGAACCTGCTGAATGCCACCTCTGCCTCTGATCCTCAAGAAAGCGCACTATATGCTGGACTGTGATGTTGTCATAACACCTATCACAAGTGGATGTGTATCTGCCCAAAACATGCCTCCAAATGAGATCCACTATTACTTAACAGAACCCTTTAAAATACCTGCTTTTAATTTTACCTGGAAAGTGAGATCTTGTGATTTGCCTTTTTTTATATCTACTTTTCTTATTTTCTTCCTTTCCTTGCTAAGGTCATGAAATACCTTAGCAAACATTTGAGAACTGGTCTACACCTTCTCTCTCTCGCTCATCCAAGCTCCCACTTCAAAATGAAATAATCCCCTTAGATGGTTCAGTTATAGGTCAATCTGAAGGTCAATATTAGAATTAACACTCAACCCTAAATGCACTTCCATACCTGGGAGTTCATCAACATTAATGGGGCCATTTCCAAATCAAAATATTTAAAAACCAGGTTCTTGTATCCAACGATTAAAGGAGGGTTGTGCCGCTGGGCATCTTTTCCATTGTTTATACTTTTGCTTGTTATGCAGGCCACACACATCTCTATTTAAAGATGCCATAAACAGTTTTCTTTGAGCCAATTAATGGAGAGGAAAATGGCTTTTCACTTCAGTAGTCCCAAAGTACTCCAGCCACTTAAGATTCAGCCATGAAGACTGCTTTATTTCATTAATAGGCACACAAACCTCCATTTGTACTACATGCTAATGGTTTAAGCTCGAAGAGCTATTGCAACACACTAAGCAAAGAGAAGGGAAGGACTATGCAAATCAAAGCAGACATCACAGCAAGAATGAAAGGGCTATGCAAAATAAATCACAGATCACAAGGGGTTTGGTTGTTGTTTTTTGCACCTATGCAAATGAAGGCATGGTATCAGAGGAGTTACAAATGGGTTATGCCCACAAAAGCATGACATCAGAGCACCAAGAGATTTTTGTACACCTGTCAGATGAGGTATAACCATCTCTCCACTAATCTCTTGGCTCATTGGCCACAGTTGATAGGGCAAGGAACGAATGAATTATTAACCAGCATGTAGGAACCGGTAGAATTTTTTTCAGATGATCTACTGCCTCATTAAATCGTATCTTATGGAAGGTAAGTCTTAAGATACTTTCTTAAATTGCATTTCTGACTCAGACTCAAGTTTTCTTTGGTTGGCCATTGATAGAGTAGAGTAGAGTAGAGTAGAGTAGAGTAGAGTAGAGTAGAATAGAATAGAATAGAATAGAATAGAATAGAATAGAATAGAATAGAATAGAATAGAATAGAATAGAAGAAAGAAGGGACCTTGAGGGTCTTCTAGTCCAACCTCCTGCTTAGGCAGGAAATCCTACACCATTTCAGACAAATGGTTATCCAATCTCTTCTTAAAAACTTCCAGTGTTGGAGCATTTACAACTTCTGGAGGCAAGTTGTTCCACTGATTAATTGTTCTATCAGGAAATTTCTCCTTAGTTCTAAGTTGCTTCTCTCCTTGGTTAGTTTCCACCCATTGCTTCTTGTCCTGCCCTCAGGTGCTTTGGTGAAAAGCTTGACTCCCTCTTCCTTGTGGCAGCACCTGACTGATTGTGGCTTGTACTTGATTGTGGCTTGTCCTCCATCTCCTTGAGGTTATTCTTACAGCCAATTACAGGCTGGTAGTACTAGATTGGTGTAATTTTCCATGGAAGAGACTCATAACATCTTGGTCTGATCTATTGCTGCCTCTTTCTTCAATATGTACTTACATTGGGCTTACATAAAGCTTAGCGTGAGGTCAAACATACAGTAAATTCTTTGACTGTGATGTACCAAGAGATAGACTAACATCGCCTTCATCTCCTACAACAATTTCAAGGATCCACATTTCATTATCTGTAAACACAGGTATCATTACTTAGTGGCCACAATTGAGACCAACAATTCCATCGCTCAGCAATACTATCATTAAGGGAAACATCATGAGACCATGACACTTAAATGCCATGGTCATTAACCACTTTTGCCATGGTCATTAACCAAGACCTCATATGACTGCCACTTGTGATGTTACTGCCAGCTTCTCTAATGACCCTGTTTGCCAAAACTAATTGTGAAGGACACAAATGTTGTTCAGTAATCACAGCATCCTGGCATGGTCATAAATGCCCACTGGCTCTGAAGCAGCCAAATGTCAATCATATGACCATGGAGTTGTGGTGACAGTCATAAATACAAGTCATAATGTTGCTTTATCAATGTGGTCATAACTTTGGTTATTAAAGAAGGCAATCCTTAAGTGAGGACTACCTATACTTGAGCTCCAACGTAGAAGGACACACACACACACTGGAATATTTAGGTGCTTTAGCCTCAGTATCAGCCCAACCAGGTAAACCAGACAAGAAATTAACTCTATAGGAAGACTAAAATTGAGATTACCTATAAAACCAAACTTTGCAAATCTGATTGTTCTGTGCATTCTGCTTCTTGTAGTTCAATGAATCAGGGAAGTATCTCTTCTGAAGGATATCTGGACATTCTGGGCTTTAAAAATACAATTTGAGGCAATTCTACCGGAGTGACTGAGAATCTTCATTGATGTATTACCACACACTTTGGGGAAGAAACCCTTGAGGTTGGTGTGGAAATACACACTAAGAATTTTAGGAGTTGGTACATTCCAACGGCTCTCCTATTCAAATTTCCTAACCAACTTGTTCAGATTGAAGAAGTTGCTGGGATGGGCAGCAAAACATCTCAAACCAACAAGAAAATAAGTCTAGTTACCATGACTAAACGTCCAGACAATTCTAAAGTTAGAATGTAGTCTTCTGTTATCATTGCTTTAAGACGAATTCATATCCGACCTGTGGAAATGTGACGTGTGTTTTATGCAAAAAGAGTTTTACAAGTTGGTGCAAAACCATTTATTTTATTTTTATAGTTTCACGGTGCTTGTGATAATCATTCTGCCCTATTTTCACTCCATTGTCTCACAAGGAATGCTGTAAAGTTGTCTTGTGTCAACTTGGTGGTAAAGCGTCTTAGCTGAGCCTTCCATATTGTGCTAATGAGTGCTATCCGGGCTGTACTTCATACATTCCAAGTTGCAAATGGAAAAGATATTTCCTAATTAGATCAACAGTAATGCAATAAAGAGATACAACAAATCCCATCTATCCAATATTGCTAATTCAGAAGGAAAATGGATAACTTGTGTCATTTGTTGAATGGGCAGGTAAATTGAAATTAATCATAATGGATATTTTCCCCCCTTTTGATTTACAGTTGAAGATAATAACCAGTCTCAGAAGAAGAAAATTACAGTGGAAGATCTATTCAGCGAAGATTTCAAAATTCATGACCCAGAGGCTAAATGGATAAGTGGTAAGTCTTGCAATCACGTATAAAAATAACTTCCTACACCATTTGTTTCAAGCACTTCTCTTGCCTGGAGTGTTTCATTGTATTATTCAGCTGAGCAAAATTTTATCAAGAGATTCTGTATGAGTCAAACCTTTTTATCCAGTGAATATAGTGATGCCACAACTGGCAACATCTATCGCAATATTATAAAGTACAAGGATCCTTTTGGGCTTTATAAATAAGATGTCGCTAAGAGCTGAACTAAAAAACTTTAAATTTTAAAAATAGTAATAAGTCATGCCTCCATAAAAAAGAGAAGTATTCTAGAGTAATACATCAGTATTACTAATTAATTATTAGTAGAAACTAAACTTAGTGAAACTTAAGAAGTGTAAAAGCTTTTTATCTAGGTTTAACTGCAAAATGTCAAAACAAATAGAAAAGGTTTTAATCTCATGCCAAAAAGTGTATTAGAATCAGAGGAACGTATACCAAAGTAAGGGTGTTAGCATTGCCAGAAAGGTGTTTTTTTTTCCATGTGGAGAAAATAACTTTACAAGTAAGAATATACATAAGCTGTTTTTGATTTGTTGATGGAGCTGCTTTGAGGCTTGAGCTGCTGTACAGATAGTTGTGAAGATAAAACAAAAAAAAGTGCCCAGAATTCCTTACAAGAAGGACAGGAGACACAAAGTGGACAAAATGAGACAGAATGAGAGACAGATTTGGAATATAGATTCTGCTCTTCCCTTTCATGACAGAGTTCTGGGTTTCTGCCTTCCCAATCTGTAGATCTGTTCGGACTGAGATTCCATGTTTCTGTACCCAACATAAAAAAATCCAGCCCTCTCCGGCCCACCATGTTTTCCATAAGTTAATCCTGCATTGTTCAAACCGCAGTGTTCTGACCAAGGCTTCCTGAGATTGCAATTAAGCACACACTTAGTTATAACAACTCATGTTTTATTTCAACGCTGGGAATTAGGTTCATTCCCAGCCGGTAATGAGTCCCAAGCAGTCCCTCAAGATAAGCACCCACCTTTCTTTCCTTTGAATTGCTGCTAACAACTAGAGTGCCAACTGAATTATAAAAAATCAACTGAAGTAGAAAATCCACCCAGAGCTTCAAGGATTAATCCGAACAGACTGAACGACTTTGCTTCCTGCAAAGGTTTTGTCACCTTTGCCTGTCCTTTATATCTGATGGGAGGACAATCACCTCCCAGCCTTACTCTTGAGTCACCCCTTTTTCTCAGCTGCTCTTGCCGTCTAGCAGCTCTGTCCACATGCACACTGGGAACAGGCTCCCCTGGATCCTCTGCTTCACTGCTGCCAGGCTCCGGAGGCAGCACCCCACTCCCACATGGTCCTGGCCCCATCTCTACATCAGATGCAGGACCCTCATCTGAATCCTCTCCAGATTCCCTGATTGATCCTCATTCTTGCCTGTGTCCGATTCCACTGCCATCTGCACAGGCTGCCAGTGAACCCAACAAAAGTATAATGCAGTGCATTACAAAATATATCTGCCTCCCATCATATCAACACCAAGGATGCCTGAGTAGAATATTTGACTCCTGTTTCTCTAAGTGACTCTAAAATCTTTAGATGAGAAGTGTGTCAAATGTTTTAATTTTGTCTATATATTCCTCACTTAGAAGCGTAACATCTTGTTATTCATATATTCTGTTGCTTAATGTTTGTTTAGTGGTAAAGCCTCAAGATGAAGTAAAATGAAAGCACTGTTTAACCAGCTGCTCTCTTACAATTTTAGAACAAAATCTGGGGAGTATGAACAGGTGTTCCAGTCATCATAGGGATATATACACAGATAGTCCTTAACTTATGACCACAAATAACTTACTGCACCTCTGTATGGTTTGCCAATTGCACAGTGGCAGATAGGAAAGCACCCCAAAGGGTTAATGTCATTGCCCCTCAGAGGATCATTAGTTGCCTCTCCCCTCTTTGGAAGAGCTTTATAGCTCCCGCTGCCTTAAGAAAGGTCAAAACATTCTCAAAGATCCATCTCATCCTGGGAACCCTTTTTTTGAAATATTACCATCTGGCAGATGGTACAGGATAACAAAAACAAGGACAAATAGGCTGAAAAACAGCTTTTATCTCAGGGCAGTAACTCTACTGAATTCTACTGTATAGTGCAGTATTGGTGCATTACAAAATATATATGCAAAAAAAAATATTTTAATGGTTATGATGTGCACTGAAGATAGTGTTTGATTTTATTGGCAAAGTGCAATGACAATAAAGTAACTAAGCTAAACTAAATGAAAAGTTCTGTTAGGTAAGGCAGGGTTAAACTGCTTCATTTTATGAACTTTTGCTAAAGTTGTTAACTGAATCTCTAGAGTTGTTAAGTGAATCTGGCTTCCCCATTGATTTTGTTTTTCATAAGGCTTTGCAGAAGGTGATTGCATGATCCCAGAATATGCCAACCATCATAAATATATGTTAGTTGCCAAGCATCCAAATTTTGACCACATGATGGGGATGCTGCAAAGGTTGTATGCATGAGGACCGGTGATAAATCACTTTTTTCGGTGCTGTTGTAGCTTTGAATGTCACCAAATAAATGAATGTAAATCAAGGATTACCTGTATAGTGTGATTAATTTAATACAAAGATACTATTATTGAAATAGCTAGATTTATTCTTACACTGCACTTTCAGGCATTCTTCTCAGGCAGAGTATAGAAATTACTTGAAGTAGTACCTGGGTGACTAAAAACTTCATGACCTCACTTCATCAGGCAGCAACTAGAAGGTCCATCATACACCTGGATGTATTTAGATATAAATCCCATGGACATGACTCCTAGTAAGTGCAGGGATTTCACATCAGTCTTTTAGTGTATTGAGATTTTGGGTTATTTTGGGACCAGATTCGTGGTGTGTAGATTACCATATAACCAGTGGTGGGATTCAAAAGTTCCCACCACCAGTTCTGTGAGCGTGGCTTGGTGGGCGTGGCTGTAGGGGTGGGATTGTGCGACTTTGCTTGCTTTGTGCACGCGTTAAAACAGTAAAACCTACACTAGTGCACCTCTTAGCTGTTTAGCAATCCGCTCTGCCACACCAAATATCTGAGAGGTTAAAAAGGATCTAGGAGCAGAGGCGGGCGGCTGAGCCCAACTGCAGAGCATTGGAGAGGCTCGGTGCGAACCGGTTCTCTGCCAGCTGATCTTCGGTGTTACCGGTATGCCAGAACCAGGCTGACCCAGTAGAATACCACCATTGCATGTAACTATTCAAGATCTTGGGTGCAATAATGAAGAGTTTAAAACAGGGGTGTCAAACTCGATTTCATTGAGGACTGCATTAGGGTTGTGTTTGACCTTGGGGAGCTGGGGTGGGCCTGACAAGGGTGGGCATCACCAGCTCAACGTCACCATGTCAGGGGTGCCTGTGGAGGCCCGAGCGTTCTGCCAGGTAAAAGGGGCTTCCGGGCTCCGTTTGAGACTGTGATTGTCTCCTGCAACCTTGTGCCAATGAAAACAGAGCTCTGGTGCTCCATTTTCACTGGTAGAGGCACTGCAGGACGGTCCTTCACCATTTCCAGGGCTGCCCCATGGGCCAAATTTGCCCCATGGGCCAAACCTTGTGGGCCAGATCCGGTCCATGGGCCCTGAGTTTGATATCTCTGGTTTAAATTGATCATGCAATGAGTGGGTTCCTGGATCTATCAACTATATTTCTTCTCAAAAGGCTTCATCAAGCTACTTTTCTTTCCATCATTCTCTATTACAGTACCTGCCGGTCAGGACCAACCCAGAAGTAGATGAATTTTCTTTAGAAAATTAGTGATGCTGTCACCGATCTTAATCATGCAAAAGTGAAGACAAATAGATTTGAGAGTCTGGTACATCTTTGGGACTGCAGGAATAGAGAGAACTAGAGCCGGTTTAGTGTAGTGATAAAGGTGCTGGCCTAGAAATTTGGAGGTTCAGAGGTAGGAAAAACAATTTGATAAAATTGAGCCAGTCACTCTCTCTCACCTTATAGATGGTGGTTGTGGGGAAAATAGAAGACAGTGTATTATGTATGTTCATCATCTTAGGTTTCTTATAAAGTAATAAAGGCAGGATAAGAATCTAATAAATATAAAGACAGGATAAAAATCTAATGAATAAATAAATTAAAGCCTTGGATCTTCTGGCACACAAGGTTGCCAGAAATACAAACAAATTTCCATACGTAAGTTGGATCAAGACTCTGTTAAGCCTGGAATTGTAAGCTATGAAGACACTGGGTTGATGCTATGCTTGATACTGGTTTAACATTTTCTTTGTTCAGTACCACTGCTATCGGACAGCTCCCTGTCAATTGAAGCCTTTGGGTTCTGCAATAAAATAGAATAGAATAGAATTCTTTATTGGCCAAGTGTGATTGGACACACAAGGAATTTGTCTTGGTGCAAGATATGTTTGTCAAGAGTCAAGAATTATAAGGTGCAAGGACACTACCATACTTGCAGGAAGAGTGGAAAATTGGAGCCCCATAGCAATGGAAAGGAAAATAGCAAATACAGTTTCTGGGTTTTCCTTTTGCAAAGGAAAACATTTTTTTTTTAAACATCAAGCTATCTTCCATATGTGTACATACAATGTGCCCGTTGGTTTACAAATCATGTTGTGCTTCCATTTCGTAGTCTTCAATTACAATTACATTGCATATAATCTCATATTTTCAATCAAAAATTAAATACCTTAGTATCATTATTAATCAATCATTTGACTATACTTTTATTCATTCATGTTTTACGAGATAATCATAATTTACTTAGTTTGTTTTATAGCAGTTCATATTATCATCCCAAATCTATCCTAAAATCATTTTGTAGATATAGTAAGAAAGAAATACATCTTTATATATATATTATTTTCTAAGAGTCTATATATTTCATTACTGTATTTTATTGTCTAACCATTGATAGAATAGATCCCAAATTTTATAAAATTTTACAAAATCCTCTTGTTCTCTAATTTCAAATGTCAATCTAC